TCGTTTCTCCTTCGGGGTCAAGATGTATGCTTGGCACCCAAAAACGCGCATGTGCTTGACACTTGGCTTAGAATTGTAGACAATCTCGAACGGTGTCTTGTGTGGAATCTTGGGTGACGGCAAACGGTTCTTCACATAGACGGCCGTCATTGCCGCTTCAGCCCAGAAGCACTTGTCCAACTTGGCATGATGGAGCATGCTACGACCGATGGTGACGATAGTTCGAATCGCGCGTTCAGCAGTTCCATTGGCTTGATGTGCGTATGGCACCGTGGTTTGTTGCTCGATGCCTTCGACTTCGTAGAAATCTTGAAGCGAGTTCGTCGCAAACTCGCGGGCTCCATCGTGTCGCACAAATTTGACCTTCTTGTTGAACTGCGTCTGTATCATCGTGATGTACTTCTTGATGCACTCTTCGCTCTCTGACTTGGAATGCAGACAAAAACCCTTCATGCATCCGCTGGCTTCATCCACGATCAGCAGCAGATACTTGCTGCCACCCAGAGATTTTTCTTCCATGGGTCCGCAGATGTCGAAGTGGAGCATCTCGAAGGTGTTGTAGGTGCGCTTGTCACGGTTGCTCGGGAATGGTTTTTGGACCATCTTCCCTTCTTGGCATCCTCGACACACACTTGATCCATTCGGCTTGGAAGGGATGTGAGCGTCCTTGATCATGTGGCTTGTCACCATCCTGCGAAGCACGTCGACTGGAGCATGGCCCATTCGCGCATGTAGATCAACAGCGTTGCTGAGTGATGTCGCATTGGCCGATCGCTGCGTCGTGCGAAGCCAGTAGAGTCCGTCTACAAGATCCGCAGCTGCCACCACTTGATTGGAATCCTTGCGAGCGACGTACATCGTATCCCCGTCAAACACCACTTGGAAGTTGCCGTGCTTGTTAATCTGCGGCACCGAGAGAAGATTTTTGCTCATGCTGGGCACATAGAGCGCGTTCTTGATCTCGATCTCGCGCTCTTCCCCGTTTGGCAGAATCACCTTTTCCACGATGGTCCCCACACCTTTGATGGCCGCCTTGTTGCCATCAGCCACCAGGATCTCGCCATCATTGCCTTCGACCAAGCTTGCAAACTTGAACTTGTCGTGGCAGATGTGATGTGTTGCCCCGCTGTCAACGGCCCACATTCCTGGCCCATTCTTGTTCGTCGAAACTCCGCATTCGAACGAAACTGCAAACGCCACTCGATCGTAGCTGTTGCCTTCATCATAATGTCGCCACTGGACATTGTTTGCCCCGCGTCCACGACCATTGCCGCCGCGTTGGGCTCCTCGACTTTCATCCTTTTGCTTCGTCCAGCAACGCTCTGCCGTGTGCCCCACCTTGCCGCAGTATGTGCATTGGTAGGGCTTGCGCTCGGTACTGAATGCCTTTGTCGCATCTTCAGTCTTCACCGTTGTCGTTGCCGTTGTCATCTTCTCGCCTTGTCGCTTGATGTGCTCGTTAGTCAGCACCTTGACCACATCTTGCGTGCGCAGCTCTGCATTGCTCATCTCCAAGTTCAGAACCACGTTCTCGAAACTCTTCGGGAGACTTAGCAGCAAGCAGATCGCAATGTCTTCGTCTTCCATCTTGGCACCGATGCTGCTGAGCTTGGCGCCGATGTTCAAGACTTCGTTGCAATGGTGCAAGACGTTGGCACCTTCCGCCATCTTGATGCTGAACAGCTGGCGCTTGAGGTAGATGCGTCCCGCCTTCTGCGACCCGCCATAGAGCATCTTCAACCGCGACCACGCTGTCCATGCTTCTTCACAGTTGTCGACCACATGGTGGTAGTCGGCGTCCATGTGGAGCAACATCAACCCGAACGCGATGTTGCTCGCCTTGACGTACTCGTCTGAAGCTCGCGTGTCGGTGAAGGTTGGAGACGTTTTGCGGTTCACGACGTACCAGACTGACTTCGTCAGAAACATGCCGCGCATGTAGCGACACCAGGTTGAGTAGTTGTCCCCATCGAACTTATCGATGGAGACACTGGCCGAGGTGTTGTTGGATGACATGGCGCTTGGGCTCATAACCTGGTGCAATTTGAGCGCGAGGCGAAGAGAAAACGAAGCGGAGAGACCGGAGAGAACGAAGCAGAGAACACTTGCTCACTTGAGGGAGGATTCGAAAGTGATTGATTTATAGGTCTTAACTTCTGCCTACCCTAGACTGCATCCAATCACATGGTGCATCTAATCAACCTGATTTACACGCGTCCAATCATCCTACGCGTCTAATCATCTCTGAGGTAATTACCGATGTAAAAACTATCTCGTAAGAACTACGCGCTAGGTTCGGATTGTACCGGTAACCCTCAATAAGGCCTAACCCTAATATTATAATGTGAGATAGATTGTCAAACATCCATAACGTTGCAGTCTACATTTCGAATACATAAATTGGGACTCCTTATTTGCTACTTAGCAGTACTCATGAGTACGAGCACTACTTTCATGCGATTAAAAAATGTCAAGGTGACGCCCACATGTAAAATTTGGACATAAGACATGATCAAAGGTTTGGCAGTGAACCTCTCACGTTTTAGGTCTCCTCTTTCCCAATGCATATTTCAGCGAATTCCCCAGACAATTTTAATGTCGTGCAGTGTAAAATCTGACTTAGACATAACGCGTCACCTGTACACCGATGCAGCAATCATGCTTTTGAACCGTTTGCCACGTTACGTGTTGGAGAACAATCGTCAGGTTTGCACGTTTTGGAGACACACATACTGTTGAAGGTATGGCACGGGAGTGACGGCCCATGCGTTCGGTTATAAACTACGCATTTGTGGTAGTCTATGCTTGATTTTTCATGTTGTTCTCCTGCAAAATTTTGTGATAAAATCGTTCTCATATGCAATAGGCTTAACATATCATCTATGCATCTGATAGAAAAAAGATGAGCAGGCTCTATCAGTCGCTAGGTTGATGCGGCCTATGGTTTTGCACCACTAGGCAGCATTTATTTTTGCTACTAATCTACTCTATCTCTGTTGCATTGTAGATCGGAGCGAGGAAAGCGGAGCAAACGGAGCGGAGAGACCGAAGAGAGTAGAGCAGAAAACACTTGCCCAATAGTTGGAAGATTCGAAAGTTATTGATTATCGGGGCTTACTACTTACTACATGATTTATATGTGGTGTACATATAAATCATGTGAAGCGTCTCATCATCCTACGCGTCTAATCAACTATGGTAATTACCGTAAGAACTACGTCGTAAATACTAAGCTGAACAGGCGGTTCGGATTGGTTACGTTTCTACCAATACTGGTAGAAAACCGATGACCGTCAACACGCCCCCTCAATCCGAATGCTCACGAATCCCGAGAGTCGCCGTCATCTCCTTGTGGCGTGGCCCGTGAAGTCCCTTCGTCATGATGTCCGCTAACATCACCGCAGTTTCACAGTACTTGAGCTTCACTTCACCGCGCTTGACCTCATCACGGATGTGATGGTACTTGATATCAATGTGCTTGGCACGGCCGTGGTTGACTGGGTTCTTCGTCATCTTGATACACGACTGATTGTCTTCATGGATCATGAGTTCCGGTCCTTCTTCATTGGCAGCCATCACGATCTCACAAAGCAGACGATGAATCCACTTGCCCTCTTGAATCGCCAAGCTGAGTGCGATGTATTCGGCTTCACTCGTGGACAACGAAACACTTGGCTGCTTCTTGCTGCCCCAACAGACTGGCGCACCGAGTAGCATGAACGTGTACCCCGATGTTGACTTGCGGTCGGTAAGATCACCAGCCCAATCCGCATCCGAATATCCACGGAAGTCGATCCTTGCACTTGGCTTGTAGCAAATTCCATGCGTCTTGGTGCCTTGTAGGTAGCGAAAGATACGCTTAACTGCAACCCAGTGTTCTTCTTGGGGTTTCTCCATGAACCGTGACACAAAGCTTACAGCATAGGCGATGTCCGGTCGCGTTGCAGTCGTCAGATGCATCAAAGCACCCACTGCTTCACGGAATGGGACATCCACCTTGCTTGCAGAGTTGCTTGGAACCAGTCGAGAGCTGACGTCCACCGGACTTGCCACAGCCTTGCACTCATCCATTCCAAAGCGCTTGAGGACATCGTCGACATAACGGCGCTGACACATAGTCACGCTGCCATCTTCACCGTCCAATAACTCGATCCCAAGAACAAAGGCACACTTGCCGCTGTCCGTCATCTCGAAGCGTGTCTTGAGGTCGTTCTTGGTGCGCGCAATCATCTCGAGCGATCTTCCAGTCACCAAGACATCGTCCACGTAGACCAGCACAAAAACACAATGGCCTTCCGAAGTCATGATGTAGAGACATGGATCGAATCCCGACGCTTGAAAACCAATCGAGCGTATGAACTCGTCGAAGGTCTCGTTCCAAACACGCGAGGCTTGCTTGAGACCGTAGATCGCCTTGATCAGCTCGAGACAGTCGAAATCACCTTCCATCTTGACGCCTTCCGGAACAGCGCAGAACACCTTCTCCTTCATCACTCCATACAGGAACGCAGTCACCACATCAAGCTGGTCGATGGGCCATCCAAAATGCTTGGTAATGGCGATGACCATTCGCAGCGTCACATACTTGACCACGGGCGAGAACGTCTCCGTGTAGTCGATGCCATACTTTTGGCGAAAACCCTTGGCCACAAGTCGTGCCTTGTATTTCTCGATCGACCCATCCGCCTTGCGCTTGATCTTGAACACCCATTTTGTGCCAATGGCGCGTTGTCCGTTGGGCAGCTTGGCCGCACGAAAGACACCGCGAAGTCGCATTGACTCGAGCTCTGCATGAATTGCTTTTCTCCAGTGCACTTGGTCAGGGCCGCTTACTGCTGCTTCAAATGTTGAGGGTTCTGATAAGTCCACTGCTGCTTCAACGGCATTTGCACTCGCACGCCAAAACGCGGAGGAAGTCGGTGTTGAATCACCAGAATCCTTCGTTTCTTCGTCTTCGTTGGCTTGTCGTGACGAGTTGTTTTCCGGCGCGCTTGACTCTTCTAGTCCTGGTCGTTGGCGCACTGCACGCGGTCGTGGAGCTGCTGTATCGTCATCATGTGAGTCGGTTGCTTGCGCTTGCCAGTTTGCTGATACTCCATTTGACGCGGCTCTTCGTCATCAAGATCGAGCGATTCGAAGTCCAGGTCATCGACATCGTCATCAGTGATCGGCAGTTGAAGTCCAAAGGTGGACTCGTCGAAGTTAACATCCCGACTGACAACAACCTGCCCCTCCTCGATGTCAAATACACGATATGCCTTGGACACTTCTTCGTAGCCCGAAAAGATTCCAGCGCGAGCCTTGGGATCCCACTTGAGTCGCTTCTCTTTAGGGGTCAGTATGTATGTCTGACAGCCGAATGATCGCATGTGCTTGACACTTGGTTTCAAGTTGTAGACGATCTCGAACGGTGTCTTGTGACGACTCTTAGGTGACGGCAGACGGTTCTTGACATAGATGGCCGTCATTGCCGCTTCAGCCCAGAAACACTTGTCCAGTTTGGCATGATGGAGCATGCTACGACCGATGGTGACGATAGTTCGAATGGCGCGCTCAGCAGTTCCGTTTGCTTGATGTGCATATGGCACCGTGGTTTGTTGCTCGATGCCTTCGACTTCGTAGAACAGTTGAAGCGAGTTGGTTGCAAACTCGCGGGCTCCATCGTGTCGCACAAACTTTACCTTCTTGTCGAACTGCGTCTGCACCATTGTGATATACTTCCGGATGTACTCTTCGCTCTCTGACTTGGAATGCAGACAAAAGCCCTTCATGCATCCGCTGGCTTCATCCATGATCAACAGCAGATATTTGCTGCCACCGAGCGAATCCTTCTTCCATGGGTCCGCAGATGTCCAGATGGAGCATCTCGAACGTGTCGTAACTTCGCTTGTCACGATTGCTTGGGAATGGTTTTTGGACCATTTTCCCTTGCTGACATCCTCGACATGTACCTGATCCATTTGACTTGAGAGGCACTCCCACATCTTTGATCATGTTGTTGGAGACCATCTTGCGAAGCACGTCGACTGGAGCATGACCCATACGTGCATGTAGATCGCACAGCTGGTTGCACTTGATGTCGCATTGGCCGATCGCTGCGTCGTGCGAAGCCAGTAAAGTCCATCCACAAGATCTGCAGTCGCCACCACTTGATGTGAGTTCTTGCGAGTCACGTACATCTTAGACCCGTCAAACACCACTTGGAAGTTGCCATGGCTGTTAATCTGTGGCACCGAGAGAAGGTTTTTGCTCATGCTTGGCACATAGAGCGCGTTCTTGATCTCGATCTCGCGCTCTTCCCCGTTTGGCAGAATCACCTTTTCCACGATGGTTCCCACACCCTTGATGTCGGCCTTGTTGCCATCAGCAACCAAAATTTCGCCATCATTGCGCTCTGCCAAGCTTGCAAACTTGAACTTGTCGTGGCAGATGTGATGTGTTGCCCCACTGTCAACGGCCCACATTCCAGGCCCGTCCTTGCTCGTCGAAACTCCGCATTCGAACGAAACTGCAAACGCCACTCGATCGTAGCTGTTGCCTTCATCATGATGTCGCCAGTGGACATTGTTTGACCCGCGTCGACGACCATTGCCGCCGCGTTGGGCTCCCCGACCTTCGTCCTTCTGCTTCGTCCAGCAACGCTCCACCGTGTGCCCCACCTTGCCGCAGTATGTGCATTGGTAGGGCTTGCGCTCGGTACTGAATGCCTTGCTTGCATCTTCAGTCTTCACCGTAGTCGTTGTCGTTGTCACCTTTTCGCCTTGTCGCTTGGTATGCTCATTAGTCAGGACCCTGACCACATCTTGCGTGCGAAGCTCGGTGCATTGCTCATCTCCAAGTTGAGAACCACGTTCTCGTAACTCTTCGGGATACTGAGCAGCAAACAAATCGCAATGTCTTCGTCTTCCATCTTGGCACCGATGCTGCTGAGCTTGGCGCCGATGTTCAAGACTTCGTTGCAATGGTGCAAGACGTTGGCGCCTTCCGCCATCTTGATGCTGAAAAGTTGGCGCTTGAGGTAGATGCGTCCCGCCTTCTGCGACCCGCCATAGAGCATCTTCAGACGCGTCCACGCTGTCCATGCTTCCTCGCAGTTGTCGACCACATGGTGGTAGTCGGCGTCCATGTGGAGCAACATCAACCGAACGCGATGTTGCTTGCCTTGACGTACTCGTCTGAAGCTCGCGGGTCGGTGAAGGTTGGAGTCACTTCGCGGTTCACGACGTACCAGACTGACTTCGTCAGAAACATGCCGCGCATGTAGCGGCACCAGGTTGAGTAGTTGTCCCCATCGAACTTATCGATGGAGACACTGGCCGAGGTGTTGTTGGATGACATGGCGCTTGGGCTCATAACCTGGTGCATTGTAGATCGGAGCGAGGGAAGCGGAGAAAACGAAGCGGAGAGACCGGAGAGAACGAAGCAGAGAACACTTGCTCACTTGAGGGAGGATTCGAAAGTGATTGATTTATAGGTCTTAACTTCTGCCTACCCTAGACTGCATCCAATCACATGGTGCATCTAATCAACCTGATTTACACGCGTCCCATCATCCTACGCGTCTAATCATCTATGAGGTAATTACCGATGTAAAAACTATCTCGTAAGAACTACGCTAGGCAGGTTCGGATTGTACCGGTAACCCTCAATAAGGCCTAACCCTAATATTATAATGTGAGATAGATTGTCAAACATCCATAACGTTGCAGTCTACATTTCGAATACATAAATTGGGACTCCTTATTTGCTACTTAGCAGTACTCATGAGTACGAGCACTACTTTCATGCGATTAAAAAATGTCAAGGTGACGCCCACATGTAAAATTTGGACATAAGACATGATCAAAGGTTTGGCAGTGAACCTCTCACGTTTTAGGTCTCCTCTTTCCCAATGCATATTTCAGCGAATTCCCCAGACAATTTTAATGTCGTGCAGTGTAAAATCTGACTTAGACATAACGCGTCACCTGTACACCGATGCAGCAATCATGCTTTTGAACCGTTTGCCACGTTACGTGTTGGAGAACAATCGGTCAGGTTTGCACGTTTTGGAGACACACATACTGTTGAAGGTATGGCACGGGAGTGACGGCCCATGCGTTCGGTTATAAACTACGCATTTGTGGTAGTCTATGCTTGATTTTTCATGTTGTTCTCCTGCAAAATTTTGTGATAAAATCGTTCTCATATGCAATAGGCTTAACATATCATCTATGCATCTGATAGAAAAAAGATGAGCAGGCTCTATCAGTCGCTAGGTTGATGCGGCCTATGGTTTTGCACCACTAGGCAGCATTTATTTTTGCTACTAATCTACTCTATCTCTGTTGCATTGTAGATCGGAGCGAGGAAAGCGGAGCAAACGGAGCGGAGAGACCGAAGAGAGTAGAGCAGAAAACACTTGCCCAATAGTTGGAAGATTCGAAAGTTATTGATTATCGGGGCTTACTACTTACTACATGATTTATATGTGGTGTACATATAAATCATGTGAAGCGTCTCATCATCCTACGCGTCTAATCAACTATGGTAATTACCGTAAGAACTACGTCGTAAATACTAAGCTGAACAGGCGGTTCGGATTGGATCGGTCACGGTTACCAATACTGGTAGAAAACCGATGACCGTCAACACGCCCCTCAATCCGAATGCTCACGAATCCCGAGAGTCGCCGTCATCTCCTTGTGGCGTGGCCCGTGAAGTCCCTTCGTCATGATGTCCGCTAACATCACCGCAGTTTCACAGTACTTGAGCTTCACTTCACCGCGCTTGACCTCATCACGGATGTGATGGTACTTGATATCAATGTGCTTGGCACGGCCGTGGTTGACTGGGTTCTTCGTCATCTTGATACACGACTGATTGTCTTCATGGATCATGAGTTCCGGTCCTTCTTCATTGGCAGCCATCACGATCTCACAAAGCAGACGATGAATCCACTTGCCCTCTTGAATCGCCAAGCTGAGTGCGATGTATTCGGCTTCACTCGTGGACAACGAAACACTTGGCTGCTTCTTGCTGCCCCAACAGACTGGCGCACCGAGTAGCATGAACGTGTACCCCGATGTTGACTTGCGGTCGGTAAGATCACCAGCCCAATCCGCATCCGAATATCCACGGAAGTCGATCCTTGCACTTGGCTTGTAGCAAATTCCATGTGTCTTGGTGCCTTGTAGGTAGCGAAAGATACGCTTAACTGCAACCCAGTGTTCTTCTTGGGGATTTTCCATGAACCGCGACACATAGCCCACAGCAAACGCAATGTCCGGACGCGTTGCAGTGGTCAGGTGCATCAACGCACCAACAGCTTCGCGAAAAGGAGCATCGACCTTGGTAGTTGCATCACTTGAAACAAGTCGAGAGCTCATGTCGACTGGACTTGCGACTGCCTTGCAATCATCCATGCCAAAGCGCTTGAGGATATCATCGACATACCGACGCTGACATAGTGTCACACTGCCATCTTCACCGTCCAAAAGCTCGATCCCAAGAACAAACGCACACTTGCCGCTGTCCGTCATTTCGAACCGCGTCTTCAGGTCGTTCTTGGTTTGTGCAATCAGCTCGAGCGAGCTTCCAGTCACCAAGACGTCGTCCACGTAGACCAGTATAAACACGCAATGGCCGTCCGAAGTCTTGATGTAGAGACATGGGTCGAAGTCCGATACTTGAAATCCGATGGAGCACACATACTCGTCGAACGTCTCGTTCCACACTCGCGACGCTTGCTTGAGGCCGTAAATTGACTTCACCAATTCCAGGCAGTCGAACGTACTGTCAAGTTCGACGCCTTCAGGAATCACGCAGAACACTTGTTTCTTCATGACGCCATACAGGAAAGCTGTCACCACATCAAGCTGGTCGATGGGCCATCCAAAATGCTTGGAAATTGCGATCACCATTCGCAGCGTCACATACTTGACCACAGGCGAAAACGTCTCCGTGTAGTCGATGCCATACTTTTGGCGGAAACCCTTGGCCACAAGTCGTGCCTTGTACTTCTCGATTGACCCATCCGCCTTGCGCTTGATCTTGAACACCCATTTTGTGCCAATGGCGCGTTGTCCGTTGGGCAGCTTGGCTGCACGAAACACACCGCGAAGTCGCATTGACTCGAGCTCTGCATGAATTGCTTTTCTCCAGTGCACTTGGTCAGGGCCGCTTACTGCTGCTTCAAATGTTGAGGGTTCTGATAAGTCCATTGCTGCTTCAACGGCATTTGCACTCGCACGCCAAAACACAGGCGGTGTTGAATCACCAGAATCCTTCGTTTCTTCGTCTTCTTCTTGTCGTGACGAGTTGTTTTCCGGCGCGCTTGACTCTTCTAGTCCTGGTCGTTGACGCACTGCACGCGGTCGTGGAGCTGCTGTATCTTCATCATTGAGTCGGTTCTTGCGCTTGCCTGTTTGCTTGTACTCCATTTGACGCAGCTCTTCGTCATCAAGATCCAGCAATTCGAAGTCCAGGTCATCGACATCTTCATCAGTGATCGGCAGTTGAAGTCCAAAGGTGGACTCGTCGAAGTTGACATCGCGGCTGATAACCACCTGCCCCGCCTCGATGTCATAAACACGATATGCCTTCGAAACTTCTTCGTAGCCCACGAATATGCCAGCGCGAGCCTTTGGATCCCACTTGAGTCGATTCTCTTTAGGCGTCAGTATGTATGTCTGACATCCGAATGTTCGCATGTGCTTGACGCTTGGTTTCAAGTTGTAGACGATCTCAAACGGGGTCTTGTGCACGACTTTAGGTGACGGCAGTCGATTCTTGACGTAGATGGCCGTTATTGCTGCTTCGGCCCAGAAACACTTGTCCAGTTCGGCATGATGAAGCATGCTGCGGCCGATCGTGACAATAGTCCTAATGGCACGCTCTGCTGTTCCGTTTGTTTGATGTGCATACGGCACCGTTGTCTGCTGTTCAATGCCTTCGTCTTCGTAGAACAGTTGAAGCGAGTTGGTTGCAAACTCGCGAGCTCCGTCGTGTCGCACGAACTTGACCTTCTTACAGAATTGCGTCTGTACCATGGTGATATATTTCCGGATGTAGTCTTCACTCTCGGACTTCACTCGTAGACAAAAGCCCTTCATGCATCCACTGGCTTCGTCGATGATCAGCAGCAAATATTTGCTGCCACCGAGCGAATCCTTTTCCATGGGCCCGCAGATGTCCAGATGAAGTAGCTCAAACGTATCGTAGCTGCGCTTGTCTCGGTTGCTTGGAAATGGTTTTTGGACCATTTTCCCTTGTTGACATCCTCGACATGTAGTTGCTCCACCCGACTTGAGAGGGACTCGCACATCCTTGATCATGTTGGTCGCGATCATCTTGCGAAGTACATCGACTGGAGCATGACCCATTCTCGCATGTAGATCGGCACAACTGGTTCCACTTGTTGTCACATTCGCTGATCGTTGAGTCGTCCGAAGCCAGTAGAGTCCATCCACGAGATCCGCTGTCGCCACCACTTGCTGTGAGTTCTTGAGAGTCACATACATCTTGGACCCGTCAAACACGACTTGAAAGTTGCCATGGCTGTTAATCTGTGGCACCGAGAGCAGGTTCTTGCTCATACTTGGAACATATAGCGCGTTCTTGATTTCGATCTCACGCTCTTCACCGTTGGGCAGAACCACCTTTTCCATGATGGTTCCCACACCCTTGATGGCCACCTTGTTGCCATCAGCCACCAAGAGTTCGCCCTCATTGCGCTCTGCCAAACTTGCGAACTTGGTCTTGTCGTGGCAAATGTGGTGCGTTGCACCACTGTCGACGGCCCACATTCCAGACACGTCCTTGCTCGTCGAAACTCCACATTCGAACGAGACTGCAAACGCCACTCGATCGTAGCCATTGCCTTCATCATGATGTCCCCACTGGACATTGTTAGCCCCGCGTCCACGACCATTGCCGCCGCGTCGGGCTCCCCGACCTTCGTTCTTCTGCTTTGTCCAGCAACGATCCACCGTGTGTCCCACCTTGCCACAATACGTGCATTGGTAGGGCTCACGCTCGGCGCTGAATGCCTTGCTTGCATCTTCAGCCTTCACCGTAGTCGCTGTCGTTGTCCCTTTTTCTCCTTGACGCTTGGCATGCTCATTCGTCAGGACTCTCACCACATCTTGAGTGCGAAGCTCGGTGCTGCTCATTTCCATGTTGAGCACCACATTTTCGTAGCTCTTCGGAAGACTGAGTAGCAGACAAATTGCAACGTCTTCGTCTTCCATCTTCGCACCGATGCCGCTAAGCTTGGCGGAGATGTTGAGGACCTCGTTGCAGTGATGCATGACGTTCGCGCCTTCAGCCATCTTGATACTGAAAAGTTGTCGCTTGAGGTAGATGCGTCCTGCCTTCTGCGACCCACCGTACAGCGTCTTCAGACTTGTCCACGCAACCCAGGCTTCCTCGCAGTTGTCCAGCACATGATGGTAGTCCGCGTTCATGTGCAGCAGCATCATACCAAACGCGACGTTGCTTGCCTTGACGTAGTCATCGGACGCTCGCGGGTCGGTGAAAGTCGGAGTCACTTCACGGTTGACAACGTGCCAGACGGACTTCGTCAAAAACACACCGCGCATGTACCGGCTCCACGTTGCGTAATTGTCTCCGTTGAACTTGTCAATGGAGGCGTTGCTGGTGGACGACATGGCGCTTGGGCTCATAACCTGTTGCATTGTAGATCGGAGCGAGGAAAGCGGAGCAAACGGAGCGGAGAGACCGAAGAGAGTAGAGCAGAAAACACTTGCCCAATAGTTGGAAGATTCGAAAGTGATTGATTATCGGGGCTTACTACTTACTACATGATTTATATGTGGTGTACATATAAATCATGTGAAGCGTCTCATCATCCTACGCGTCTAATCAACTATGGTAATTACCGTAAGAACTACGTCGTAAATACTAAGCTGAACAGGCGGTTCGGATTGGATCGGTCACGGTTACCAATACTGGTAGAAAACCGATGACCGTCAACACGCCCCCTCAATCCGAATGCTCACGAATCCCGAGAGTCGCCGTCATCTCCTTGTGGCGTGGCCCGTGAAGTCCCTTCGTCATGATGTCCGCTAACATCACCGCAGTTTCACAGTACTTGAGCTTCACTTCACCACGCTTGACCTCATCACGGATGTGATGGTACTTGATATCAATGTGCTTGGCACGGCCGTGGTTGACTGGGTTCTTCGTCATCTTGATACACGACTGATTGTCTTCATGGATCATGAGTTCCGGTCCTTCTTCATTGGCAGCCATCACGATCTCACAAAGCAGACGATGAATCCACTTGCCCTCTTGAATCGCCAAGCTGAGTGCGATGTATTCGGCTTCACTCGTGGACAACGAAACACTTGGCTGTTTCTTGCTGCCCCAACTGACTGGCGCACCGAGTAGCATGAACGTGTACCCCGATGTTGACTTGCGGTCGGTAAGATCACCAGCCCAATCCGCATCCGAATATCCACGGAAGTCGATCCTTGCACTTGGCTTGTAGCAAATTCCATGCGTCTTGGTGCCTTGTAGGTAGCGAAAGATACGCTTAACTGCAACCCAGTGTTCTTCTTGGGGTTTCTCCATGAACCGTGACACAAAGCTTACAGCATAGGCGATGTCCGGTCGCGTTGCAGTCGTCAGATGCATCAAAGCACCCACTGCTTCACGGAATGGGACATCCACCTTGCTTGCAGAGTTGCTTGGAACCAGTCGAGAGCTGACGTCCACCGGACTTGCCACAGCCTTGCACTCATCCATTCCAAAGCGCTTGAGGACATCGTCGACATAACGGCGCTGACACATAGTCACGCTGCCATCTTCACCGTCCAATAACTCGATCCCAAGAACAAAGGCACACTTGCCGCTGTCCGTCATCTCGAAGCGTGTCTTGAGGTCGTTCTTGGTGCGCGCAATCATCTCGAGCGATCTTCCAGTCACCAAGACATCGTCCACGTAGACCAGCACAAAAACACAATGGCCTTCCGAAGTCATGATGTAGAGACATGGATCGAATCCCGACGCTTGAAAACCAATCGAGCGTATGAACTCGTCGAAGGTCTCGTTCCAAACACGCGAGGCTTGCTTGAGACCGTAGATCGCCTTGATCAGCTCGAGACAGTCGAAATCACCTTCCATCTTGACGCCTTCCGGAACAGCGCAGAACACCTTCTCCTTCATCACTCCATACAGGAACGCAGTCACCACATCGAGCTGGTCGAGGGGCCATCCAAAGTGCTTGGTAATGGCGATGACCATTCGCAGCGTCACATACTTGACCACGGGCGAGAACGTCTCCGTGTAGTCGATGCCATACTTTTGGCGAAAACCCTTGGCCACAAGTCGTGCCTTGTATTTCTCGATCGACCCATCCGCCTTGCGCTTGATCTTGAAGACCCACTTTGTGCCAATGGCGCTTTGTCCGTTGGGTAACTTGGCCGCACGAAAGACACCGCGAAGCTTCATCGAATCGAGCTCCGCATCAATTGCCTTGCGCCAGTGTACTTGGTCCGGGCCAGACACTGCTTCTTCAAATGTCGACGGCTCCGAAAAATCGACCGCTGCTTCGACGGCGTTTGCACTCGCATGCCAAAACGCGGAGGAAGTCGGTGTGTCATGTTGTTCCTCCGACTTCCTTTCTTCATCTTCGTTGGCTCGACGTGAAGAGAGGTCATCCGGCGCACTTGACTCTTCCAATCCGGGTCGTTGGCGCACTGCTCGGGGCATGCTTGCGTCGTCATTGTCGTGACTGGGTTGGGCCTTGCGCTTTCCTGTTTGTTTGAAGTGTCTCGGACGCGGTTCTTCATCATCAAGATCGATCGATTCGAAGTCCAGGCCATCAACATCGTCATCGGAAATCAGCATCGACATTCCAAAGGCCGACTCATCGAAGTTGACATCGCGACTTATCATCACCTGCCCCGCTTCGATGTCGTAAACTCGATACGCCTTGGACACTTCTTCGTAGCCCAAAAACAATCCAGCCCGGGCCTTGGGATCCCACTTGAGTCGTTTCTCCTTCGGGGTCAAGATGTATGCTTGGCACCCAAAACGCGCATGTGCTTGACACTTGGCTTAGAATTGTAGACAATCTCGAACGGTGTCTTGTGTGGAATCTTGGGTGACGGCAAACGGTTCTTCACATAGACGGCCGTCATTGCCGCTTCAGCCCAGAAGCACTTGTCCAACTTGGCATGATGGAGCATGCTACGACCGATGGTGACGATAGTTCGAATCGCGCGTTCAGCAGTTCCATTGGCTTGATGTGCGTATGGCACCGTGGTTTGTTGCTCGATGCCTTCGACTTCGTAGAAATCTTGAAGCGAGTTCGTCGCAAACTCGCGGGCTCCATCGTGTCGCACAAATTTGACCTTCTTGTTGAACTGCGTCTGTATCATCGTGATGTACTTCTTGATGCACTCTTCGCTCTCTGACTTGGAATGCAGACAAAAACCCTTCATGCATCCGCTGGCTTCATCCACGATCAGCAGCAGATACTTGCTGCCACCCAGAGATTTTTCTTCCATGGGTCCGCAGATGTCGAAGTGGAGCATCTCGAAGGTGTTGTAGGTGCGCTTGTCACGGTTGCTCGGGAATGGTTTTTGGACCATCTTCCCTTCTTGGCATCCTCGACACACACTTGATCCATTCGGCTTGGAAGGGATGTGAGCGTCCTTGATCATGTGGCTTGTCACCATCCTGCGAAGCACGTCGACTGGAGCATGGCCCATTCGCGCATGTAGATCAACAGCGTTGCTGAGTGATGTCGCATTGGCCGATCGCTGCGTCGTGCGAAGCCAGTAGAGTCCGTCTACAAGATCCGCAGCTGCCACCACTTGATTGGAATCCTTGCGAGCGACGTACATCGTATCCCCGTCAAACACCACTTGGAAGTTGCCGTGCTTGTTAATCTGCGGCACCGAGAGAAGATTTTTGCTCATGCTGGGCACATAGAGCGCGTTCTTGATCTCGATCTCGCGCTCTTCCCCGTTTGGCAGAATCACCTTTTCCACGATGGTCCCCACACCTTTGATGGCCGCCTTGTTGCCATCAGCCACCAGGATCTCGCCATCATTGCCTTCGACCAAGCTTGCAAACTTGAACTTGTCGTGGCAGATGTGATGTGTTGCCCCGCTGTCAACGGCCCACATTCCTGGCCCATTCTTGTTCGTCGAAACTCCGCATTCGAACGAAACTGCAAACGCCACTCGATCGTAGCTGTTGCCTTCATCATAATGTCGCCACTGGACATTGTTTGCCCCGCGTCCACGACCATTGCCGCCGCGTTGGGCTCCTCGACTTTCATCCTTTTGCTTCGTCCAGCAACGCTCTGCCGTGTGCCCCACCTTGCCGCAGTATGTGCATTGGTAGGGCTTGCGCTCGGTACTGAATGCCTTTGTCGCATCTTCAGTCTTCACCGTTGTCGTTGCCGTTGTCATCTTCTCGCCTTGTCGCTTGATGTGCTCGTTAGTCAGCACCTTGACCACATCTTGCGTGCGCAGCTCTGCATTGCTCATCTCCAAGTTCAGAACCACGTTCTCGAAACTCTTCGGGATACTGAGCAGCAAGCAGATCGCAATGTCTTCGTCTTCCATCTTGGCACCGATGCTGCTGAGCTTGGCGCCGATGTTCAAGACTTCGTTGCAATGGTGCAAGACGTTGGCACCTTCCGCCATCTTGATGCTGAACAGCTGGCGCTTGAGGTAGATGCGTCCCGCCTTCTGCGACCCACCATAGAGCATCTTCAACCGCGACCACGCTGTCCATGCTTCTTCACAGTTGTCGACCACATGGTGGTAGTCGGCGTCCATGTGGAGCAACATCAACCCGAACGCGATGTTGCTCGCCTTGACGTACTCGTCGGAAGCTCGCGTGTCGGTGAAGGTTGGAGACGTTTCGCGGTTCACGACGTACCAGACTGACTTCGTCAGAAACATGCCGCGCATGTAGCGACACCAGGTTGAGTAGTTGTCCCCATCGAACTTATCGATGGAGACACTGGCCGAGGTGTTGTTGGATGACATGGCGCTTGGGCTCATGACCTGTTGCAATTTGAGCGCGAGGCGAAGAGAAAACGAAGCGGAGAGACCGGAGAGAACGAAGCAGAGAACACTTGCTCACTTGAGGGGAGGATTCGAAAGTGATTGATTTATAGGTCTTAACTTCTGCCTACCCTAGACTGCATCCAATCACATGGTGCATCTAATCAACCTGATTTACACGCGTCCAATCATCCTACGCGTCTAATCATCTCTGAGGTAATTACCGATGTAAAAACTATCTCGTAAGAACTACGCGCTAGGTTCGGATTGTACCGGTAACCCTCAATAAGGCCTAACCCTAATATTATAATGTGAGATAGATTGTCAAACATCCATAACGTTGCAGTCTACATTTCGAATACATAAATTGGGACTCCTTATTTGCTACTTAGCAGTACTCATGAGTACGAGCACTACTTTCATGCGATTAAAAAATGTCAAGGTGACGCCCACATGTAAAATTTGGACATAAGACATGATCAAAGGTTTGGCAGTGAACCTCTCACGTTTTAGGTCTCCTCTTTCCCAATGCATATTTCAGCGAATTCCCCAGACAATTTTAATGTCGTGCAGTGTAAAATCTGACTTAGACATAACGCGTCACCTGTACACCGATGCAGCAATCATGCTTTTGAACCGTTTGCCACGTTACGTGTTGGAGAACAATCGTCAGGTTTGCACGTTTTGGAGACACACATACTGTTGAAGGTATGGCACGGGAGTGACGGCCCATGCGTTCGGTTATAAACTACGCATTTGTGGTAGTCTATGCTTGATTTTTCATGTTGTTCTTGTTGAATGGTGAAAAGCTTGACGACCGAAACTGGGAGTGATGCTGGGAGTCTACTCGGAAGACCGGAGAAGACACTTGGGGGGTAGATGGAAGATTGGAAAGTGATTGATTATCGGGGCTTACTACTTACTACATGATTTATATGTGGTGCACATATAAATCATGTGAAGCGTCTCATCATCCTACGCGTCTAATCAACTATGGTAATTACCGTAAGAACTACGTCGTAAATACTAAGCTGAACAGGCGGTTCGGATTGGACCGGTCACGGTTACCAATACTGGTAGAAACCGATGACCGTCAACACGCCCCTCAATCCGAACTCGCACGAATGCCGAGAGCCGTCGTCAAGTCCTTGTGACGAGGTCCCGAAAGTCCCTTGGTCATGATGTCCGCCATCATCACGGAAGTCTCGCAATACTCGAGCTGCACTTCCCCGCGCTTGACCTCATCACGGATGTGATGGTACTTGATGTCGATGTGCTTGGCGCGGCCATGATTCACCGGATTCTTCGTCATTTTGATGCACGACTGGTTGTCTTCACGGATGACGAGGTCCGGTCCTGGTTCGTTTGCGGTCGCCAAAATCTCGCATAGCAGGCGATGCACCCACTTGCCTTCCTGGATGGCCAGACTCAGTGCGATGTATTCCGCTTCACTCGTCGACAGCGACACACTTGACTGCTTCTTGCTTCCCCAACTCACAGGAGCACCCATCAGCATGAAAGTGTAACCCGAAGTCGACTTGCGATCAGCGTGGTCGCCGGCCCAGTCCGCGTCCGAGTAGCCACGAAAGTCGATCTTGTCGCTTGGCTGGAAGCGGAGTCCGTGCGACTTGGTCCCTTGCAAGTAACGAAAGATGCGCTTCACCGCCGTCCAATGTTCTTGCTGCGGATTCCCCATGAAGCGCGAGACGTATCCCACAGCATACGCAATGTCCGGGCGCGTCGCAGTCGTCAAGTGCATTAAAGCTCCCACAGCTTCACGAAACGGAACGTCGATCTTGGCCGCTTCGGTGCTTGCGACAAGCCGAGTGCTCAAGTCGACCGGACTTGCTGTGGCCTTGCACTCATCCATGCCGAAGCGCTTGAGGATGTCGTTGACATACCGTCGCTGGCACATCGTCACGCTGCCATCCGATTCGTCCACCAGTTCGATGCCCAGTACAAAAGTACACTTGCCACTGTCGGTCATCTCGAAACGCGTCTTGAGGTCGGCCTTCGTCTGCGCAATCAACTCGAGCGAGCTGCCGGTGACCAACACGTCATCCACGTAGACCAGCACGAGCACACAGTGACCGTCGACAACCTTGATGTAGAGACATGGGTCGAACGCCGACACTTCGAAACCGATAAAGCATACGAACTCGTCGAAAGTCTCGTTCCACACACGTGAAGCTTGCTTGAGACCGTAGATCGCCTTCACCAACTCGAGACAGTCGAAGTCGCCATCCATCTCGACGCCTTCTGGTTATCACGCAGTACACCTTCTCCTTCATCACTCCGTAGAGAAAGGCTGTCACCACATCGAGTTGGTCCAGTGGCCAGTCGAAATACTTGGTGATCGCGATCACCATACGCAGTGTCACGTACTTGACCACGGGCGAGAACGTCTCCGTGTAGTCGATGCCGTACTTCTGCTTGAAGCCCTTGGCAACGAGACGCGCCTTGTATTTCTCGACCGATCCATCCGCTTTGCGCTTGATCTTGAACACCCACTTGGTGCCGATCGCGCCTTGGCCTCTTGGCAGTTTTGCCGCACGGAAAACTCCACGAAGATGCATCGACTTGAGTTCCGCCTTCACAGCATTTCGCCAGTGAGTTTGATCAGGACCATTGATCGCGTCTTGAAAAGTCACAGGTTCTGCTAGGTCCGTTGCTTCCACTGCGTTTGCACTTGCACGCCAAAATGTTGGAGGCGTCGAGTCGTCATCTTGATCGTACACGCTTGCATCTTCTTCGTCATCAGACATCGTTTCTGGAGCACTTGATCGTCGTTTCTGGTGACGGTTGGAGACGTGTTCCGGCGCACTTGCTTGTTCCAACCCAGTTCGAGGGCGAGCTGACCGTGACATGCCGGGTCTTGCTTCACTCTTGCGCTTGCCAGTCTGCTTGTAGACGGTTTGACGCACGTCGTCCTCGTTGATCGCCAGGAGGTCGAGGTCCAACTCCGCATCTTCATCATCGTCACTTGGTCGGTCCATCGAAAAGTCAAAAGTCGATTCGTCGAAGGTGATGTCACGACTGATCACCACTTGGCCCGCCTCAATGTCGTACACTCGATAAGCTTTTGACGCTTCTTCGTAGCCCATGAACATCCCTTCACAAGCCTTCGGGTCCCACTTCAATCGCTTCTCCTTGGTGTCAGGATAAACGCCCGACATCCAAACACGCGCATGTGCTTGACACTTGGTTTCGACTTGTACACGATCTCGAACGGAGTCTTGTGGTCGATCTTGGGTGAAGGCAGGCGGTTCTTGATGTAGATCGCCGTCATTGCCGCTTCAGCCCAGAAACACTTCTCCAGCTTTGCATGATGCAACAAGCTGCGTCCGATCGTGACGATGGTCCTTATCGCGCGTTCTGCGGTGCCGTTGGTCTGGTGTGCATACGGCACCGTGATCTGTTGTTCAATACCATGATCTTCGTAGAAGGTCTTGATGGAGTTGGTCGCAAACTCATGCGCTCCATCGTGCCGAACAAACTTGATCTTCGTGCCGAACTGAGTTTGAATCTTGATAATGTGGTTCTTGATACAGTCTTCACTCTCAGACTTGGACCGCAGACAGAAGCCCTTCATGCAACCGCTGGCTTCGTCAACCACAAGCAGTAAGTATCTGCTGCCGCCGATCGAAACTTGTTCCATTGGCCCGCAGATGTCGAAGTGCAGCAACTCGAACACACCATATTGGCGTTTGTCACGGTTGGTTGGGAATGGTTTTTGAACCATCTTTCCTTGCTGGCAACCGCGACACACACTTGGACCAGTCGAGTTAAGAGGTGCCTTGGCGTCCTTGATCATGCCAGTGGCCACCATCTTGCGCAGAACTTCGAGGGGTGCATGACCCATGCGCGCATGCAAGTCGATGGTCCCATTGCGTGTTGCTGCATTTGCCGATCGTTGAGGAGTCCGCAGCCAGTAAAGTCCATCGACGAGATCCGCTGTTGCCACGACTTGTGTGGAATTCTTGCGCTTCACTTGCATCTTGGATCCATCGAACACGACTTGGAACCTGCCACCCTTGTTGATCTGTGGCACCGAAAGCAGATTCTTGCTCATACTTGGTACGAACAGTGCGTCCTTGATCTCGATGTCGAGTTCGTCACCATTGGGCAGAACCACCCGTTCCATGATGGTTCCCACACCCTTGATCGCAGCCTTGCTGCCATCAGCCACTGATAGTTCGCCTTCCTCTCGCTCATTCAGGCTTGCAAACTTGGCTTTGTCTTGCAGATGTGATGCGTCGCACCGCTGTCGACTGCCCACATCCCTGGCATATTCTTGCCCGTCGAAAGTCCAGCCTCCAGCGAAACCGCGAACGCAACTCGATCGTAGTTGTCATCGTAGTTGCTGTTGGTTCGCCACTGAACGTTGTTGGCTCCGCGTCCACGAGCATTGTTGCCGCCGCGTCGAGCTCCACCTTGATTTTCGTCCTTCTGCTTGGTCCAGCACCGCTCCGCCGTGTGCCCCAATTTTCCGCAGTATGTACACTGGCGAGGTTCACGCTCGGCACTGAACGCCTTCGCCGCGTCTTCAGTCTTCACCGATGTCGTCTTGTCACCTTGTCTCTTGATGTGCTCATTCGTGAGCACTCTCACGACGTCTCGCGATCGCAGTTCCGCGCTGCTCATCTCCAAGTTGAGAACGACGTTCTCGTAGCTCTTGGGGAGGCTGCGCAACAAGCAGATCGCCACGTCCTCGTCCTCCATCTTGGCGCCGATGCTGCTGAGCTTCGCGCTGATGTTGAGGACTTCGTTGCAATGATGCATCACATTGCCGCCTTCCGCCATCTCCATGCTGAACAGCTGGCGCTTCAAGTAGATGCGTCCAGCCTTCTGCGACCCGCCGTACAGCGTCTTCAAACGCGCCCACGCGACCCACGCCTCTTCACAGTCATCAACCACGTGATGATAATCCGCGCTCATGTGCAGCAGCATCAAGCCGAACGCAATGTTGTTCGTCTTGATGTAGTCGTCACTGGCGCGAGGATCGGCGAAGGTGGGGGTGGTCTCCCGGTTCACCACGTGCCACGCCGACTTGGTCAGGAACACGCCACGCATGTAGCGGCTCCACGTCGCGTAGTTGTCGCCGTCGAACTTGTCGATGGAGATCTTGGTGGTGGCATCATGAGCAGAGGACATCGTGCTTGGGCTCATAACCTGTTGAGGGGTGAAAAGCTTGACGACCGAAACTGGGAGTGATGCTGGGAGTCCACTCGGAAGACCGGATAAGACACTTGGGGGGTAGATGGAAGATTGGAAAGTGATTGATTATCGGGGCTTACTACTTACTACATGATTTATATGTGGTGCACATATAAATCATGTGAAGCGTCTCATCATCCTACGCGTCTAATCAACTATGGTAATTACCGTAAGAACTACGTCGTAAATACTAAGCTGAACAGGCGGTTCGGATTGGACCGGTCACGGTTACCAATACTGGTAGAAACCGATGACCGTCAACAGTTCTCCTGCAAAATTTTGTGATAAAATCTGTTGAATGGTGAAAAGCTTGACGACCGAAACTGGGAGTGATGCTGGGAGTCTACTCGGAAGACCGGATAAGACACTTGGGGGGTAGATGGAAGATTGGAAAGTGATTGATTATCGGGGCTTACTACTTACTACATGATTTATATGTGGTGCACATACAAATCATGTGAAGCGTCTCATCATCCTACGCGTCTAATCAACTATGGTAATTACCGTAAGAACTACGTCGTAAATACTAAGCTGAACAGGCGGTTCGGATTGGACCGGTCACGGTTACCAATACTGGTAGAAACCGATGACCGTCAACACGCCCCCTCAATCCGAACTCGCACGAATGCCGAGAGCCGTCGTCAAGTCCTTGTGACGAGGTCCCGAAAGTCCCTTGGTCATGATGTCCGCCATCATCACGGAAGTCTCGCAATACTCGAGCTGCACTTCCCCGCGCTTGACCTCATCACGGATGTGATGGTACTTGATGTCGATGTGCTTGGCGCGGCCATGATTCACCGGATTCTTCGTCATCTTGATGCACGACTGGTTGTCTTCACGGATGACGAGGTCCGGTCCTGGTTCGTTTGCGGCCGCCAAAATCTCGCATAGCAGGCGATGCACCCACTTGCCTTCCTGGATGGCCAGACTCAGTGCGATGTATTCCGCTTCACTCGTCGACAGCGACACACTTGACTGCTTCTTGCTTCCCCAACTCACAGGAGCACCCATCAGCATGAAAGTGTAACCCGAAGTCGACTTGCGATCAGCGTGGTCGCCGGCCCAGTCCGCGTCCGAGTAGCCACGAAAGTCGATCTTGTCGCTTGGCTGGAAGCGGAGTCCGTGCGACTTGGTCCCTTGCAAGTAACGAAAGATGCGCTTCACCGCCGTCCAATGTTCTTGCTGCGGATTCTCCATGAAGCGCGAGACGTACCCCACAGCATACGCAATGTCCGGGCGCGTCGCAGTCGTCAAGTGCATCAAAGCTCCCACAGCTTCACGAAACGGAACGTCGATCTTGGCCGCTTCGGTGCTTGCGACAAGCCGAGTGCTCAAGTCGACCGGACTTGCTGTGGCCTTGCACTCATCCATGCCGAAGCGCTTGAGGATGTCGTTGACATACCGTCGCTGGCACATTGTCACGCTGCCATCCGATTCGTCCACCAGTTCGATGCCCAGTACAAAAGTACACTTGCCACTGTCGGTCATCTCGAAACGCGTCTTGAGGTCGGCCTTCGTCTGCGCAATCAACTCGAGCGAGCTGCCGGTGACCAACACGTCATCCACGTAGACCAGCACGAGCACACAGTGACCGTCGACAACCTTGATGTAGAGACATGGGTCGAACGCCGACGCTTCGAAACCGATGGAGCATACGAACTCGTCGAAAGTCTCGTTCCACACACGTGAAGCTTGCTTGAGACCGTAGATCGCCTTCACCAACTCGAGATAGTCGAAGTCGCCATCCATCTCGACGCCTTCTGGTATCACGCAGTACACCTTCTCCTTCATCACTCCGTAGAGAAAGGCTGTCACCACATCGAGTTGGTCCAGTGGCCAGTCGAAATACTTGGTGATCGCGATCACCATACGCAGTGTCACGTACTTGACCACGGGCGAGAACGTCTCTGTGTAGTCGATGCCGTACTTCTGCTTGAAGCCCTTGGCAACGAGACGCGCCTTGTATTTCTCGACCGATCCTGTTGAAAAGACAGCGGCTGTGAAGAAGACACCTCGTCAAGCTGCGTCAAGTGTTGAAGCAAGTGGAAGACCAAGCTTCGCTATACCGGTGGGTACCGGTATGTACCAGTAAGGGCGAAGTCAGGAAATGACGTCACTGGATGACGTCATTGCATGACGTCAGTGGGTGACGTCAGTGGGTGACGTCACTGGATGACGTCACTGCGAATAATAGGCTTAGAGGTAGTATTCAAAGTTGCGAACTAAGTACCTATTATAAATATATATTCACTTTGCGTTTTGCACTCGGACCAAGAAGTCTAAAGTTCATCAGGTTATGAGCCCAAGTTCGTCAGACTCTGAAACCGCCAACAATTCAAGCTTAGCTGCCATGGACGCCTCCTCCCTCCGCATCTCCAAGTTCGATGGAACTAACTTCCACGCCTGGAAGTTCAAGATGCAGATGGTGCTGGAGGAACGGGACCTATGGGAGGTCGTCAGCGGTGAGATCAAGGCGGAACAGTGCGAGACTCAGTTGGACCAAGCGACGTACAAGAGGAAGTCAAGAAAGGCGATGGCAGTGATCTGTCTAGCCATGGAAGATTCCCAGCTACCGTTGGTCCGGTCGGCAAGTGGTGCATGCGACGCATGGTCAAGGTTGGAAGACCACTTCGAGAAGAAGAGTCTTGCCAACAAGCTGTTCTTGCGCCGTCGCTTCTTCACGACAATGATGGAAGAAGGCGACGATGTGCTCGAACACATCAACAAGCTCAAGACGCTGGCGGAACAGCTAGAAGCGGTGGGGGCTCCAGTCTGCGAGGACGATCTGGTGATCACACTCCTCGGCAGCCTGAGTGACTCGTATCAATTCTTGATCACAGCTTTGGAGTCGCGCTCAGACACTCTTAGCTGGGAGCTCGTGACGTCTCGACTGCTTCATGAAGAAATGAAGCGGAAGGAGCAAGGAAGTAAAGGTGATGAAGCTTCGCAAGGTCAAGCGTTCATCACAAGGGACAATCAGCGCAAAGGGCGACCAGTGAAGAAGTCCTGGCCGTGCCACAATTGCGGAAAGATTGGTCACTGGATGGCGGAGTGCCCCTCGCGCATCCAAGAAAACACGGAGAGACACCGGCCACAGCGTGCTCAAGACAGCGGCGACCGCTATCGATCACAACGTGCAAACGTCGCTCAAGAAGAAGACTCGGGCGACTACCTCTTTTCGATCGGTGAAACGACATCTGCGAAATCGAGCGACATCTGGCTGGTCGACTCCGGGGCGACGCAGCACATGACGTGCTCCAAGAAGTTCATGCGGAACTACAAGGGGTTTGACGCTGTGGATGTCCATCTCGCGGATGATGGAATCGTCCAAGCAATCGGCAGTGGGGACATTGTCATGTCGATGAAGACACCCCAAGGGATGAAGAAAGGTGTGCTCACAAACGTGTGGCACATCCCAAAGTTATCCAGAAACCTGTTCTCGGTCGGCCGCTTCACCAAGGATGTCGGCCCAGTGACGTTCACGAAGGATGGGTGCTATGGAGAAGCGAAAGGGACCAAGTGGAAAATTGGTGCCCGTGAAGGTAAAGGACTGTTCAAGCTGCAAATGACTCCAGTGGCGCCGGAACAAGCAAATGCAGCCAAGTCGTCGGGATGTCAAGGGGGCACCAAGTCGTACCTCTGGCACCTTCGGCTTGGCCACATAGGTCACGATGGACTCAATTGCATCGTGACGAAGAACATTGGAATTGGCATCGACATATCTTCGGTGAAGAAGTGGGACGTGTGTGAAGGTTGTGCTCTGGGAAAACAGACTCGAGTGCGCTTCCAATCAAACACTACAGCTCGCACCTCCAAACTCCTCGAAGTGATTCACAGCGACGTATGCGGACCGATGTCGATGGCAACTTTCAGTGGAAAACGGTACTTCGTGACATTCATTGATGACAAGTCAAGATACTGTGTCGTCTATCTGCTCAAGAGCAAATCTGAAGTTGCGGCGAAGTTCATGGAATACGCTGCGATGGCCGAAACGCAAACCGGAAAGCGCGTGAAGTACCTTCAAAGCGACAATGGGGGTGAATACAAGTCCGACAAGCTGGCACGATTCTGCGCGGAACGGGGAATACAACAAAGGTTCACACCCCCATATACTCCTCAGCTAAACGGAGTAGCTGAGAGAATGAATCGCACGCTGGTCGAGTGTGCGCGTTGCATGATGGAACACGCTGGACTGGGAAAGAGCTACTGGGGTGAAGCAGTGATGACGGCGATGTTTCTTCGAAACCGCTGTCCAACACGTGCCATTCACCAAGACAAGTCTCCATATCAAGTGTGGACGATGAAGAAACCGATTCTGGCCAACCTTAAAGTGTTTGGATGCCACGCGTATGTTCAAGTGCCTCAAGACAAACGCGCGAAGTTCGACTCCAAGTCATCACTCTGTCGTTTCCTGGGATACGCCGAACACCAGAAGTCATATCGATTTGAGGAAGTGTCAACAGGAGCGATCAAGATCAGTCGCGATGCCACATTCATGGAAGACAAGTTTGATGAAGGTCCGCGCAACTACAACGATGAGTCAAGTGTCGTTGAGTTTGATGATCATGATGAGGACGAAGAAAAAGAAGAAGGTAAAACTGACGACGAAATGGACTCGAGCGACGATGACAACGAAGACACCAGGTCTTCGAAGAGCAACATCAAGAGACACACGCGCACTCAATCACTTGAGAAAGCTACCGTCATTCCAAGTCCCAAGCGAAGAACATACAGAGGTCCGTCGCTTGAGCATGTGTCAGCGGCTGCAATGGATTTTGAAGCAGCCTACATCGTTGATTCAGTGGGGAAACGCCGACTACATTCAAGTCGGCGATGGAATCAAGCGACTCCGGCAAGTGGAAAGAAGCGTGTGACTCGGAGTTCGATTCGCTTCAGAGAAACGACACGTGGGAAATCGTGCCTCTTCCGAAAGGTCGCAAGGCCATCGGGTGCCGATGGGTTTTTCGTGTAAAGGAGAATCAAGATGGCGAAGTTGAACGTTTCAAGGCAAGACTTGTGGCCAAAGGATTCTCACAGAAATTCGGAGTTGACTATGAAGAAACTTTCGCACCGGTGGCCAAGTTCACATCGATTCGTGTGGTGCTCAGTATGGCGGCTAAGTACGGCCTAATGCTACATCAGATGTGATGAACTTTAGACTTCTTGGTCCGAGTGCAAAACGCAAAGTGAATATATATTTATAATAGGTACTTAGTTCGCAACTTTGAATACTACCTCTAAGCCTATTATTCGCAGTGACGTCATCCAGTGACGTCACCCACTGACGTCACCCACTGACGTCATGCAATGACGTCATCCAGTGACGTCATTTCCTGACTTCGCCCTTACTGGTACATACCGGTACCCACCGGTATAGCGAAGCTTGGTCTTCCACTTGCTTCAACACTTGACGCAGCTTGACGAGGTGTCTTCTTCACAGCCGCTGTCTTTTCAACACTCCCTCTCGACTCGTTAGCTGCGGCACCTTGGATCCCAAGTCGATCGCGAATGTTTTCAAATTGTACAGCGGCGATCGGCTTGGTCATCATGTCTGCCAGCATATCTTGAGTCGGGCAATACTCCAAAACGACTTCACCTGATTCCACCTTCTCACGCACAAAATGGTAGCGTATGTCGATGTGTTTTGTTCTCTTATGGAACTCCGGGTTCTTGGCGAGAGCGATTGATCCTTGGTTGTCTTCATACATCTTGATCGCTTCGTCGCTTGTCATCTCACCAAGTTCCCCCAAAAGCACTTTGAGCCATACTGCTTCTTTGGTTGCTTCGGAAAGCGCCATGTATTCTGCTTCTGTTGAAGATAGCGCGACCGTCCGTTGTTTCTGGCTTTTCCAGCTGATGCATCCTCCGCTCATCATGAACACATAGCCGCTTGTACTTCGTCTTGACTCAATGTCGCCGGCCCAGTCTGCGTCGGTGTACCCGCAGATACGGCTTCCTTCTTCACGTGTAAACTCAAGACCATGATTGGGCGTTGCTTGCAGGTATCTCAGCACACGCTTCAAAGCTTGCCAGTGAGTCGGGCATGGGTCGGACGAGAACTGGGATAATGATCCCACTGCAGCAGCTAGATCCGGACGTGTGGCGACCATGAGATACATGATGCCTCCGACAGCACTTCGATATGGCACGTTGCACATGGTGTCTTCGTGCTTGCATTCTTGTTCACACATGTTCTTGGTTAGCTTCAGGCCGGGATCTTGAGGCGTCTTCACTGGCTTGCTGTTATCCATTCCGAACTTGGTTAACACGGACTTGAGAAACTTGGTTTGTTGTACAGTCACCATTCCCGTCTTACGGTCGTTCTTGATCTCCATGCCGAGAAAGTAATCGAGCTCACCGAGATCCGTCATTTCGAAGCGTTTGCTCAGCGCCATCTTGGTCGACTTGAGGAGTTCGTTGTTGCTGCTGGCCAGGATGAGATCATCGACGTAGAGCACCACGAGAATCATGTCTTGGTCGTCTCGCTTGATGTAGATGCAGTGGTCCGATTCGCACTTCTTGAATCCCATCTTGATCATGAACCCATCGATTGTTTGGTTCCACATGCGAGGCGATTGCTTCAAGCCGTAGAGTGATCTCTTTAGCTTGCACACATAGTCCGGCTGTGTTGCATCCAGGTATCCGTCCGGCTGGTCCATGTAGATGTCTTCGTTGAGGGAGCCGTTAAGAAACGCTGTCTTGACGTCCATCTGATGTAGCATTAGGCCGTACTTAGCGGCCATACTGAGCACCACACGAATCGATGTGAACTTGGCCACCGGTGCGAAAGTTTCTTCATAGTCAACTCCGAATTTCTGTGAGAATCCTTTGGCCACAAGTCTTGCCTTGAAACGTTCAACTTCGCCATCTTGATTCTCCTTTACACGAAAAACCCATCGGCACCCGATGGCCTTGCGACCTTTCGGAAGAGGCACGATTTCCCACGTGTCGTTTCTCTGAAGCGAATCGAACTCCGAGTCACACGCTTCTTTCCACTTGCCGGAGTCGCTTGATTCCATCGCCGACTTGAATGTAGTCGGCGTTTCCCCCACTGAATCAACGATGTAGGCTGCTTCAAAATCCATTGCAGCCGCTGACACATGCTCAAGCGACGGACCTCTGTATGTTCTTCGCTTGGGACTTGGAATGACGGTAGCTTTCTCAAGTGATTGAGTGCGCGTGTGTCTCTTGATGTTGCTCTTCGAAGACCTGGTGTCTTCGTTGTCATCGTCGCTCGAGTCCATTTCGTCGTCAGTTTTACCTTCTTCTTTTTCTTCGTCCTCATCATGATCATCAAACTCAACGACACTTGACTCATCGTTGTAGTTGCGCGGACCTTCATCAAACTTGTCTTCCATGAATGTGGCATCGCGACTGATCTTGATCGCTCCTGTTGACACTTCCTCAAATCGATATGACTTCTGGTGTTCGGCGTATCCCAGGAAACGACAGAGTGATGACTTGGAGTCGAACTTCGCGCGTTTGTCTTGAGGCACTTGAACATACGCGTGGCATCCAAACACTTTAAGGTTGGCCAGAATCGGTTTCTTCATCGTCCACACTTGATATGGAGACTTGTCTTGGTGAATGGCACGTGTTGGACAGCGGTTTCGAAGAAACATCGCCGTCATCACTGCTTCACCCCCAGTAGCTCTTTCCCAGTCCAGCGTGTTCCATCATGCAACGCGCACACTCGACCAGCGTGCGATTCATTCTCTCAGCTACTCCGTTTAGCTGAGGAGTATATGGGGGTGTGAACCTTTGTTGTATTCCCCGTTCCGCGCAGAATCGTGCCAGCTTGTCGGACTTGTATTCACCCCCATTGTCGCTTTGAAGGTACTTCACGCGCTTTCCGGTTTGCGTTTCGGCCATCGCAGCGTATTCCATGAACTTCGCCGCAACTTCAGATTTGCTCTTGAGCAGATAGACGACACAGTATCTTGACTTGTCATCAATGAATGTCACGAAGTACCGTTTTTCACTGAAAGTTGCCATCGACATCGGTCCGCATACGTCGCTGTGAATCACTTCGAGGAGTTTGGAGGTGCGAGCTGTAGTGTTTGATTGGAAGCGCACTCGAGTCTGTTTTCCCAGAGCACAACCTTCACACACGTCCCACTTCTTCACCGAAGATATGTCGATGCCAATTCCAATGTTCTTCGTCACGATGCAATTGAGTCCATCGTGACCTATGTGGCCAAGCCGAAGGTGCCAGAGGTACGACTTGGTGCCCCCTTGACATCCCGACGACTTGGCTGCATTTGCTTGTTCCGGCGCCACTGGAGTCATTTGCAGCTTGAACAGTCCTTTACCTTCACGGGCACCAATTTTCCACTTGGTCCCTTTCGCTTCTCCATAGCACCCATCCTTCGTGAACGTCACTGGGCCGACATCCTTGGTGAAGCGGCCGACCGAGAACAGGTTTCTGGATAACTTTGGGATGTGCCACACGTTTGTGAGCACACCTTTCTTCATCCCTTGGGGTGTCTTCATCGACATGACAATGTCCCCACTGCCGATTGCTTGGACGATTCCATCATCCGCGAGATGGACATCCACAGCGTCAAACCCCTTGTAGTTCCGCATGAACTTCTTGGAGCACGTCATGTGCTGCGTCGCCCCTGAGTCGACCAGCCAGATGTCGCTCGATTTCGCAGATGTCGTTTCACCGATCGAAAAGAGGTAGTCGCCCGAGTCTTCTTCTTGAGCGACGTTTGCACGTTGTGATCGATAGCGGTCGCCGCTGTCTTGAGCACGCTGTGGCCGGTGTCTCTCCGTGTTTTCTTGGATGCGTGATGAACTTTAGACTTCTTGGTCCGAGTGCAAAACGCAAAGTAAATATATATTTATAATAGGTACTTAGTTCGCAACTTTGAATACTACCTCTAAGCCTATTATTCGCAGTGACGTCATCCAGTGACGTCACCCACTGACGTCACCCACTGACGTCATGCAATGACGTCATCCAGTGACGTCATTTCCTGACTTCGCCCTTACTGGTACATACCGGTACCCACCGGTATAGCGAAGCTTGGTCTTCCACTTGCTTCAACACTTGACGCAGCTTGACGAGGTGTCTTCTTCACAGCCGCTGTCTTTTCAACACTCCCTCTCGACTCGTTAGCTGCGGCACCTTGGATCCCAAGTCGATCGCGAATGTTTTCAAATTGTACAGCGGCGATCGGCTTGGTCATCATGTCTGCCAGCATATCTTGAGTCGGGCAATACTCCAAAACGACTTCACCTGATTCCACCTTCTCACGCACAAAAATGGTAGCGTATGTCGATGTGTTTTGTTCTCTTATGGAACTCCGGGTTCTGGCGAGAGCGATTGATCCTTGGTTGTCTTCATACATCTTGATCGCTTCGTCGCTTGTCATCTCACCAAGTTCCCCCAAAAGCACTTTGAGCCATACTGCTTCTTTGGTTGCTTCGGAAAGCGCCATGTATTCTGCTTCTGTTGAAGATAGCGCGACCGTCCGTTGTTTCTGGCTTTTCCAGCTGATGCATCCTCCGCTCATCATGAACACATAGCCGCTTGTACTTCGTCTTGACTCAATGTCGCCGGCCCAGTCTGCGTCGGTGTACCCGCAGATACGGCTTCCTTCTTCACGTGTAAACTCAAGACCATGATTGGGCGTTGCTTGCAGGTATCTCAGCACACGCTTCAAAGCTTGCCAGTGAGTCGGGCATGGGTCGGACGAGAACTGGGATAATGATCCCACTGCAGCAGCTAGATCCGGACGTGTGGCGACCATGAGATACATGATGCCTCCGACAGCACTTCGATATGGCACGTTGCACATGGTGTCTTCGTGCTTGCATTCTTGTTCACACATGTTCTTGGTTAGCTTCAGGCCGGGATCTTGAGGCGTCTTCACTGGCTTGCTGTTATCCATTCCGAACTTGGTTAACACGGACTTGAGAAACTTGGTTTGTTGTACAGTCACCATTCCCGTCTTACGGTCGTTCTTGATCTCCATGCCGAGAAAGTAATCGAGCTCACCGAGATCCGTCATTTCGAAGCGTTTGCTCAGCGCCATCTTGGTTGACTTGAGGAGTTCGTTGTTGCTGCTGGCCAGGATGAGATCATCGACGTAGAGCACCACGAGAATCATGTCTTGGTCGTCTCGCTTGATGTAGATGCAGTGGTCCGATTCGCACTTCTTGAATCCCATCTTGATCATGAACCCATCGATTGTTTGGTTCCACATGCGAGGCGATTGCTTCAAGCCGTAGAGTGATCTCTTTAGCTTGCACACATAGTCCGGCTGTGTTGCATCCAGGTATCCGTCCGGCTGGTCCATGTAGATGTCTTCGTTGAGGGAGCCGTACGTCAAGCTGTCTTGACGTCCATCTGATGTGTAGCATTAGGCCGTACTTGGCCGCCATACTGAGCACCACGAATCGATGTGAACTTGGCCACCGGTGCGAAAGTTTCTTCATAGTCAACTCCGAATTTCTGTGAGAA